GTTGGTGAGCGGTTTTATTTGCAAAACAGTCTTCTACTGGTACATTATTATCAGAGAGCGCTTGTCTCAGCAGGCGCTCATATTTATAAGAAATTATTTTTAGCGATATTTTAGTAGGGCATAAAATTATCTGGGCACTACTGGTTTCTTTATAGTGTGCAAGTCTTCCAAAATATTTTGTTAGGGGGCGTGAAGTAGTAAAGAACGATTCATTTTTGCATTTGTAGCGATGGTTGGTAATATATAACATATACAGGGTGTTCCAGCAATACCGGATAAACTCTACACAGCCAGATTCGTTGTTTAGAATGCATAAAAAATGCCCAAAGTACTGTACCACTACGCCCCATAGTTTTCGAGAAAAATGCGAGAGAAAATGTATGGCGTCATATTTGGTTTACGTAAAAAACCTTTATACGAAACCTAATCATCAGTATTTGCATAATTTTAAGTGGGAAGTTGTTCGAAAGGTCCTTCGCGCATATGGAGGCATGCATGCGCGCGTATTGGAATGGTTGACTGTACACCACGTCCTAGCTTCGTAATGTCCACGAAAGTAAACGCACTATGGAGACGAGCAACTATGTCCATTTCTGAAGTAACTGGGTCTCGATAAACCAATTCACTACGATGCTAGAAGGTGTACAGTCAACCATTCCAATACGCGCGCATGCATGCCTCCATACGCGCGGGGGATATGCAAATACTGATGATTAGGTTTCGAATAAAGGTTTTTTACGTAAAGCAAATATGACGCCGTACATTTTCTCGAAAACTATGGGGCGTAGTGGTACAGTACTTTGGGCATTTTTTTATGCATTCTAAACAACGAATCTGGCTGTGTAGAGTTTATCCGGTATTGCTGGAACACCCTGTATATAATCACTGGAAAGTCACTATATTATAGTACCTTTCAGCATAATATCTTTGATAATTTCGTACGAAACTGTCATGATAAATCGATCTCATGGTATTTTGGTCGAAATATTAATTTCGAATCTATGGAACTTCGTAAGTAAAATTAATCGTCAATAGTCTCATTGTTGATATTATTAAGTAGTTGAAATAGTTGTTGGTCAGTATGAACAATGACATTGTCTAAGAAGACATATAATTTTTAAATTATTATCATAAAATAATATATATATTCTTTGAAATATTTTTTTTTTTACTCTTCTTGGATATTTCATTTACAATATGTGGAAAAGTATGCAAAATACAAAAAAAATATTGAAGCAAAGACGTAATGGAAAGATTTGTACCAATATGTCGATTGTCAGATCAATTGATATTTTCGTTAGAGTACATTCATTGTTAAATAAAATTTTGAATGTTCTATATTTTATTACTGTGAATAAAATTTTGAAAAATTTATTAATAGTTTTAAAAGAAAAATAAAATATTTTTACTGAAATCATTAGTGTTATTTTTTGTTATACTATTAGCATTAAATGATTTTTGCTGCTTTCCGATATTAGAGGTTACCCTAAAAATTTGGAATTGATTGTAAGAACAAAATACATAACAGCAATCTTAAAAAAAATTGAAAACCCCAAAAATTATAATTCCAAACTATTTCCTTTTCTTAAAAAATCTCCTTTTCACTTTGAATAAAATTTTCTTTGGTCTCACTAGACGATCTTTTAAAACAGTTTTACATTATTTGATTACATAATTGTTGCGTAAAAGAAATTTAAACTATCATGTAAAAACGCCCTTGAAAGATATTTACAAAAAATTAATTTCATAAGAAACGTTGAAAATAGTACACGAAACGAAAATATCAAGAACACGAAAGACCATTTTCCCCAAAGTACTACCCATAATTTTATGGATAATAAAATTAAAAAAAAACAATTATAGAATTCCAAGTGATTTTATCAAAAAAAGCACTTGAAAGGTATTTAAATAAACCAATAACAAAAGTTCATGTAAGAAATTGAAAAAGAATAAACCAAAAAGAAAGGGTGAAAGTGATTCAGGAATTCTCTGACAGGTTCTCCCTAAAACGTTATTCCTTCATTTTATAGGTAATAAAATGTACATATCTATAAAATGTGCTTTTAATGTGTTTTTATGATGAATCTTTGGGAAATTACAGAATTGAAATTATTTTAATACAGGACTCAAAAAGTGTGCTACAGGTAGAGAGTGTTCATAAGTATATTCATAAGTTCAAAAGAGTATTCGTAAGTATGTATCTTTTTCTGTGAAATTCGGTCAATTACATACATATAAAACCACCAAAAATTCCCATGGTTTAATTGCTTATATAGATTGCGAAAAAAATTAAATTTGTCAAAAGAAATTAATTTTCAAAATTTTAAAACAAAAAAAATAAAGTTTGCTTTTCATAGAAATTTTCCTGCAACTTATCACTTTTTGTTGAACAATAGTGGATATAAATTCTTTTGGTGATCGGGCTTATACAGCGCATTGGTAAGTCGCTACTCGGAATAAGTACTATTCGTGTGCTTGATAAATGTATCGTTTTTGGATTTTTTCTAAAACATTTTTGTTGTCTTTTGTGTTAATCATATGATGTGTTCTTATGGATCCCGTGTCAGAGGGCGAAAATCGTGATCTGACTGGTGTTTTTCGCGCACTGGCGGACTTTCAAAGTAATTTCTCCCCGTTGCTGCAATCAAGATCTTCGATGGAGATTGACCCTCCTTCGGTACCTGCCATGCAGACAAGTGCAACTGTTGAACCACCGGTGGCTACCACCTCCAAGATTGCTCCTGCTCCTGTTCTCACGGAAGCGGACGTATGCCGGCAAATTACTGCTGCCACGCAGCTACTCATTGAACGCCGGAAGCACCATGATCTGGCAAATCAAGCCATCGCGCAGCAGCAAATACTTATGGACGCTGGTCTTGTGACTGCGAAAACAATTAAGGCCTCAGCTGCCACTGTCAAGAAAGCCGCAGAAGCTGTATTGGATGCGGAAAACAGGTAAGTGGGCTTGGTCAATGTCCCTTAGTTAATTGTGCACGGCATAGTAGCGCCAAAGTTACCTTGCAACATAAAAAGCACAAAAGGCCAGCTAGTGCTGCAACTAATGCTGATGGTTTCTTGCAACCCGCTAAAAAGCATACTGCTAAATCCTGTCCTGCTGCAGCTGATGTTAGCTCAATAGACACTTCCAACAAATTTGCCAACTTAGTCGTTGATGAATCTATTGAAGATGAACCCCAAGAGGTCAGGGAACCTAAACTCCCACCAGTTATGGTGCGGTATTCTGACAGTTTAAAGGAGATAATTGCTGAAATCAGCAGAAAGTTTCAGGATGAAGTCAAGATTAAGCTCGCGGGTGAATATCTCAAAATATTTCCAGGTAATCCGGATCAACACCGGCTAATCACCACCTTCCTGAAAAACTCTCATACGGAGTATTACGTGATTACACCGAAGAAACAGCGACCACTAAAAGCCGTCTTGAAAGGACTCCCTGTCAGTTATTCTGCTGAGGAAATATCCGTTGGACTCTCGGAAATTGGACTTAACATCGATCAAGTGCGACAACTGACAAATCTTAAGACCAAGCACTAATTCCTGTGTGGCAGTTAGTGTACAAAAGGTGTGAAGCGAACTCAAAAATATTTGAAGTCAATCGATTACTCCACCTCTCCGTGCGAGTGGAAAAAATTTAACCGGAAACCGGGGGCTTCCCAGTGTTTTTCGTGCAATTTTTTCCACCATTCGGCACAAAAATTGTCATCTCAAGAAGCGCTGCCTTAAATGTGGTGGCGAGCACTACCTGAAAGACTGTTTGATCAAGGATAGGATTGAAAATCCTATCTGCATTAACTGCCACCAGATGGGGCACCTTGCCGCTTGGCGCGGTTGCCCGAAATTTCCGAAGCCACGCCTTCCGCCCAATCGCACTGCTGAACCTCCTCGGAGCACTTTCGCCACTCGACAAGTCACGCCAGGTGTCTCCTACGCAAGTTTCTTGCGTGGGCCGCCGCCTGCTGCTCCACCCGTGATTCCCGATCGCCAAAACATCTGGCAAGATTTTGATACTGACACGGCTGCCAAAACAGTTTACGTCCTTCAAGAAGTTACTAGTATCTTCAACATGCTTGAGGTATTGATAACTTTTATGCACAATTGAAAGCTGCAAATTCGCCATTCGAAAATTTCAAGTAATTGCAAGATGTTTTAAGCTAGCTATTTAATTGCTCATTTTATTTTTTATCTGTTCCATGCTATTTTTCGTTCTTTGTTATTTGTTATATTGCCGTGCGACTTGACCATTGCCCACTGCCTTCTTTTTATATTTTTAATGTCTTGTTTTTTCCAATGTCTCACATAGTACCAGATTTGGAGTCTAGGGCCATACTCGGCCAAGGTACTCTCCATCCTGAATGATGATGATACAGCGCATTGACTATTAATTCGTTTCTGTTAGCAAAGGGCGTTTGCTTGGGACGGCGATCGGATTTATATGTAAATCGTATTAAGAAATTTTCTAGTAAATGTACGTGGTACACACTGGTATCCGTGTAGATGGTGGTTCTTCCTAAATATTACTTTTGGACTCATCAAACAATAAAGGATTGTACTTGTACAAATATTGTGCTAATAATGATTTTACAGTTAACTATATTAAAAATTTGACTCTATTTTTTAAAAGCGTATTCTTGAGTTTATTTCTTTGATTCTATTTAAAAGTTTCAAAGAAATGATTTGATTCCGTTAAATTTGTTATTGGAGATAAAATTAATCCTTAGTTGTTTACTAATGAACATATGATGAATTTTTATACTAATATTAGAGTCTTGAGTGCGAGTCTATTGATAGTAATGGAAGTGGAATTTTTTTCCTTTATCAAATATATTAATTTGTGATTTATTGTTAGTATGAATGCTGATATCATAAAATAAGCTTAAGGATAATTCGTGACAATCCTTCGAATTGAATAAATATCTTGACAACTGTTTTGAAACAATGGTAAGCAGAAAAAAATTATTCCAAATAATTAAATGCATGTTTGTGAATGTACCATGCTGAATATACCGGTTCTCGTTAGATCACCGAAGTCAAGCATCATTGGGCGCGGTCAGTACTTGGGTGGGTGACCACCTGGGAACACTGCGTGCCGTTGGCAAATTTGGGACCTGAATGGCCGAGTGTCTAGCGCTCTGGCGCTCGGTGCCACAGGTTTCGGGTTCGAATCCCGGCGGTGCCATGGATGTTTGTAGTGGTTCGGAATCCACTTTAAGCCGTAGGTCCCGGTCTTCTATGACTGTAAGAGCGTCACGGAGCAAAAGTCAGGCTTCTACCTACGGGTGCTCCATCACAACAGAAGCTGCTTCCTTCCCCTTCAATCATGAGTCCATATGGGCTCGTGGGCTTGGCCAGCCAAGTGGGATAAGAAACAACAACAAACAACAAACATGTTTGTGAATTGGAAATATATATATATATATATATATAATATGCATTGCATATTTATAGATATATAGATTTACACATTTTATTACTTGATACACATTTATTACTCATAGATACACATTCATCTCACATAGATATACACATTTTGCTACTTGTCATAAATTTCTTATTTCTATTTAAAACATACTTGTTCATGAGGTCATTTTTCAGACTTTATTTGCAAAAAAAGAGTGAGATTTGATAAACATTAGAGTATATTAAATTGATTTACAAAAATGTTTAGAAATCGCTAAAATTATATTTAAAAAGGCGTCAGAACTTTACTATATTGAAAAAATATTGCAGGAACAGCAAAACAAATAATAAAATATGTACCATTTTTTAAAAAAATTTATATAAGTTTGAATAACAGTTAGCAAGTAAATTTTCATGTTATGTTCAATAAGCTATATTCTATATTAATCCTCTACATCAAATGTGTAATCATCGGAGAAATTAAAGATTTTAACTTATCGAATCCACTAAAAATATGTAATTTATTTCACAAATCCTTTTGAATAAATAATGATAAGGGTAAGTAATTAATACGGTTACCTAAATATTAATGATGAGGAGGAATACAGTTTTTATTAGGATGAGTAGATTTAAATGTAAAATAAGGTGTAGGGTTTTTCAAGCTGAGAGTTTGAACAGTTATACGAATACTAGTATCGAGAGTACTAAGGAAAGACACGGAAAGTTACAATTAGCTTATACTATAATGAAAATTCAGGATTTGAATTCATAGGATAATTGAAAGAAACAGTTTCTGCCAGAACTAATTCGGTGGTGCAACACTGATATCACCAAAACGATAAAGAGCAGAACGAGCCAAAATATTAAAATCTGGCTGATTAACTAATTTCTACCGAAATGATACCTTTGGCAATAAGGCAATTTGGCAATTTTGCCCAATAAGGGGTGACGCTCGTTAAAGTCTTCCCAGAGTATCGTATATTTATTAATAAATATCAAGTAATGCATTGATATCAAGATTAAAATGACCTCCGTACAATTCACAAAAAATTAATCAATATAACTTTGAAAATAATTGAGGAAACGAAAAACTTCTCAAGGAAACAAGAGAAATCGCTCCAAGATGCAGTACCCATAATTTTATGGATAATAGAATAAAATTATAACTACAGAATTCCAAGTGATTTTATCAAAAACAGCGCAAGAAAAAAATTTAATGAAAAGCTCGTGAAAGACTTTTAATCGAAAGGCACGTGTAAGAAATTTAAGTAAACAGTAATAATAGCCAGAGAAAGAAATAACAAGTAATATAAAAAAAACAAACCTTTTAATGTCAATTACTACTTTTTTTCAATAGATTGCAGAAAATTCCTTATAAATAAAGTTGAAATTTTCCTCTTACATCTGGCGCCATCTATTGGTAGATATGTACAACTTAAATCTAAAAAAAAAACTAAACTTAATTAATTTAATTTAATTCATGAATTAATATTTAAATAAAACTGTATTAACATCAAGTGTCCTCTACTACAAGTTCAAATACATTTTTTTTTTAACTTAATGATAATGTATCTGAACTTGAGTGGATGAATAAAAAGTATTTTTATAACGATTAAAAATTTGAACAAGATAAATATAGTGAGATTGTGAGCTAATAGTAGGAATTGAAAAAAAAAAAAAAAGTAATATTAAAAAACATTTAAATAAATTCCTACTTTTTTTTTCACTCTATTGCAGAAAGTCCTTTATAAATAAATTTCAATCATTTTTTAAGTTTATCTGGCGCCATCGATTGGTAAATATATGCAACTTAAATCTAAAGAAAACTAAAATTAATGAATTAAATTTAATTACTGAATTAATATTTGTCAAACTGTATTGACATCAAGTGTCATCCACTACAAGCTCAAAAAAATGTATTTCAATTTGAGTGGATGAATAAAAAGTATTTTATGAACGATTGAAAATTTGAACAAGATAAATATAGGGAGAGTGTGAGCTAATAGAAGGAATTGAAAAAAAAAAATAATTAAATAAACCAATAAGAAACGTTGAAAGTGCCTCAGGGCATCGCTGAACCGTTTCTTCAAAAAAGAAATACCCATACATTTGAAGGATAGCAAATGAGCAATTGGATAAAATGACGAACTTTTTGTAAAGGTTTTTATACCGAAACTTTTATAAAGTGGATATTTGAAATTATTTTAATACATGGGATCAGAAAAGGTGTCTGATCATACTTTATGTCATTTTGTGAGAAATTTGAGCAATTATATCAGTAAAAAAACCCATGGAAATCTCTCATGGTTTAATTAATCATATTGAAAAAAAATGTAATCAAAAAATAAATTCTGTTTAAAAAAATAATTAATTTTCTACATTTTAAAATAAAGAAAAATAAATTGTTTTGATCGGTCATATATACTAGCTGATATTTTATTCTCGTTTTGATAGGAGAGTGCTTGCGTAATTTGTGAAATTGAACTATACTTTAGTAAGGCATAACAGTATTTGGAACACACTAGTATCAGGATAGCGGGAAATTCTAGGAAAATATTGCGTTTGGATCCATCAAATAATAAATAAATAATTATTCAGTTCTATGCCTATAGCGGAAGATGGTGTAATATAGACAGGAACTTTGTAGTACCCTTTAACATACAGTCATTGAGAACTACGTACTAAACTGTCGTAGTAAATTGAGGTCGCAATGCTAATGTCCAATCCATGGAAGTTGTTACAGAAAATTGAAATGATTACATTTATGCAGTTGTAGGTGTAATGATCTCGAATGAAAATACTCGTCTTTTAAGTCGTCTAAAAACAACGATTTAAATGGTTTTTAATTAAAACAGCAATAACGAATCTGTTTAAATAAAAAAATTACGTATTTTTAGTGTGATATTGTTATCCATTTTTATTATCTTTTAAAGCGGAAGTGATGTCACAGTTAAAGGGGGTGTTTTTAGATTTGACTGCTGAAGACAGCCTAAACCTCAAAACAACTATCTACGACACTGTTAGACCGAGACCTACGGTTTAAAGTGGATTCCGTGCCACTACACATCCATGGCATCCCCAGGACTCCAACCTGAAACCTGTGGCACCGAGCAACAGACAGTCGGCCCTTCAAGGCCATTTAATTATTAGCGGATGAAAGAAATTTAATCTACCATCACGAAAAAAGTTCGCCGATTAGATTTAGAAAAAATAAACGAATAAGAAACTCCGAAAAAAAAATAAGCAAACAAAAGAACCCACTCCCCGATGCAGTACTCATAATTTTATGGATAATAAAAAACTAAATTTCAAGTGATTTTATAGCAAGTAATATAAAAGTTTTTAAGTCAATTCCTACTTTTTTTCCCACTGTATTGCAGAAAGTCCTTTATAAATAAAATTGAAATTTTCCTCTTACATCTGGCGCCACCTGTTGGTAGATACATACAACTTAAATCTAAAAAAAAATTTAAATTAATTAATTAAATTTAATTCATGAATTAATATCTGAAAACACTGTATTAACATCAAGTGTCATCCACTACAAGTGCAAAAAAAAAAAAATGTATCTGAACTTGAGTGGATGAATAAAAAGTATTTTTATTAACGATTGAAAATTTGAACAAGATATATATAGGAACAGCGTGAACTAATAGAAGGAATTGAATAAGAAAAACACGCGAAAGAAATTTAAATAAACCAATAATAAAAGCTCATGTAAGAAATAAAAAAAATAATGATAATAAACCCATAAAAACGTTGAAAGTGCTCCTGGAAATCGCCGACCCACTCTCCCCAAACATTTTGTGGATAATAAATGGAACAATATGATAACATGACATCCTTTTAATGCAATTTTTATACCGAACTTTTTAGAAAGTGTATATTTGAAATTATTTTAGTACAGGGGTGTGTCTGTTCATATGTATATGTTCTTTTCTGATGAATTTGTAGCAATCTATACCGTATAAAACCATGAAAAACTATCATAGTTTAAATGATTATATAGCAAAAATGTGTGAAAACAATCAATTTTGTTTAAAAGGTTAGTAATTTTCCACATTTTAAAATAGAAGAATTATTTTGATTGAAATTTCCCGGCAATTTATCACTTTTCGTTTTATAATTTTAGATATAAATTGTGTTGGTGAGCGGTTGTATTCGCAAAAAATATTTGATCTGATTGACTATTATCAGAGAGCGCTTGTTTAAGCAGGCGCTCGTATTTATAAGAACTGTTTTTTAGCGATAATTTTGTAGGGCATAAAATTGTCTGGGTCCTACTGGTTTCTTTATAGAGTGCAAGTCTTGCAATGTATTCTGTAGGAGGCATGAAGTAATAAAGAACCATTAAGTTTAGTGTTTGTAGCGATTGTTGGTATAATATATACAGGGTGTCCCAGCAAGACCGGATAAACTCTGCGCAGCCAGATTTGCTGTTTGGAATGCGTAAAAAATGTCCAATGTACTGTACCACTACGAACCATAGTTTTCGAGAAAAATGCGAGAGAAAACGCATGACTTCATATCCGGTTTACGAAAAAAACCTCTATTCGAAACATGAACATCAGTATTTGCATAATTTAAATTGGGAAGTTGTTCGAAATGTCCCCCGCTCGTATGGAAACCCAGTTACTTCAGAAATGGACTTAGTTGCTCATCTCCATAGTGCGTTTACTTTTGTGGACACTACG